GCAGGGCTCGGGGGGGGGCGCAAGGTGGAAGTTTCGCCTAGGGCATGAAACTTCCTTGCACCGACCCTGGCTACTACTAGAGACAGGATACGCCATTAGATAATACACTAGTCTGATCTTTTGTGGCAATTTCTATGTTCCTGTGCAAGGCCTTGAGTCAATGGGGCAACTAACGGTGTGTAAAATTAAGCACAGGCAGGATCAGGGTTAACTTGTATAGATAGAAATATAGCTGGGAGAAAATTTCTGGCAAATAATTTATTTACTGAAAATGTAGTTTTGGGATGACCAACGCTATTCACAAACTTGGGTCAAATTCATCAAATAGTTTTGACCAAAAAAACCCACCTCCCCCCAGAAAGCTTAAATGTTTTGTTTCACCATTTTCAAAGCAAAACTTTTTGACTTCATTTCAAAATGAGAGGTTTTTTTGTTTTGAAATTTAGCTAGATTTATTTCAAAACCAAAAAGTGGAACAACCCCCTCCCCCCCCCCCCCCGAAAAAGCAAAATGAACCTGAAAAAGAAAAATATTAGTTTGGGGTTGAATGAAATTATTTTTTTCAATTTGAATTTTTTTTTTCATTTTTGGTAAGAAACTGAAATTTCCATTTTGGGTTGACCTGAAAAGAAATTCTTTCCTGATTTTTTTTTTCCAAATCGGTCACTGAATTGAAAAATCAGGTTCACTCAGCTCTATATAGAATACTTCTAAAATGAGTAACTCTTCAAGAAAAGATCACACGCAGCTCCTTTTTCTTGACAAGCGTAACTAAAGTCCTGAACAAACTTACCCACAAAACAATATTTCCAAATTTCTATATTTTGACAGGCGTAGAAGAAAGTGGCACACCGACATGCTTTTGAAAAGCCCAAAGGATATTTAGGTGCTAGATTCTATGCCAAAGTTTCAAAATGACAAGCTGCCTTTTGCCCAGAAATATCATCCACATGTAACCAAATCTGCATTTTCGCGACCAAGTCTGACATTTACATGAGCAAAAAGGTACTTGCAAATATAGGTTATGCCTGTACAAACCCTGGTACATAAGAGCTCTATTGGCACTTGGCTTGTCTCAGATGAATCCTAACTGAGCACATTTATCTTATACTTATAAGTAAACTATCTATTTTTGAAAGTGTAGCTCTGACTCTTTAGGATTGGCTATTTTTGATATCTATAATTTTCCAGGATCAAATTAAGCTACCAAGTGGCTGAAATGTTTGAGTCCAACCTTCTGTCAAAGACTAATGAAACTTCTTCTCACAAAGAGTTCTATTACCCGCTTCTCTTGTTGCCTTTGGCACTTTGCTCCATATGTTAACCACTCTGTGCAGAAATAAATGAATCACGGACTAAATCCCTACTTAAACTGAATCTGTGACCTCTTGTTTTTAATCAGTTATCGCAAAAATTGACATTAATCCATTTTTTTTGAGGCATGGGAATGCTTTGATTTAAGTGTCGAACAGGAAATCTGTTGTGCTGATATGGTCTGCTTGTGTGGATCCTTGGCTCATTTGCCTGACCTCTGTCATCAAACGTAGGCTTCCCAATAGAGAGCTGGAGGCTCTCCAAAACATATGGGAACTAAAACAAAACAAAACTCCCCCACCCTTCTTCCTTCAAAGTCATCTTCTCAGATTGGGAGGTCTGGCAAGAATCTAATCTTATCCTTGCACCCTGCTTAGTCTCAAGATCAAAGCTGGATCATTTCCATTTGTTTCTCACACCTCTAACCCAAACCATTGTAGCTGACTTGGGTACACTTTGGATTTCTGATAGGCCCTTTCAGTAATCTGCTGACTAGAAATAAACACAATATAAACCTCACTGGGTGGTTTTGTAAAAAGCCAGAATAATTTCTACTAAATTCTGTTACAAACCTTTCCCTTCTGCCATATACTATTCAGTTACTTGCAGTTTATTGCTGGTATTATTGATGTAACTTACTGTTTTCTATAGCTCCCATCATCATAGTATCTAAATGCTTTTGAAGCAAATGAAATCTGCATGGTGAGGTCCCTAGTGGATTTAAGGGATTCTTCTCCTTTTCTCTCCTCCCTGATCTTTTTTATTTTTTTACCTTCTTCCCATTCACCTATCATCCAGGTTATAATGTGATAACTTTCTGAAAGCGTGCACCTTAAAAGCAGTTAGATTCTGCAATAGTCTGATCTTCTCTAGGAGCTTTGCTCACAAACAAATCCCTTGGATCACTGTCTTTCCATCTGTCAGGTACTTCTTCCTGGGTTTTTTGCAAGCTGCCTTGTCTCAGAGGAGCACAGATGTGTTTAGAGTTGTGAATGGGGTCAGCTCACTGCTGGCACTACTTATGGCCAGGATTGGCATGGCTGCTCTGTCTCCTCTGGGGTCTGCTGCCGCTGATTGCTCTGCCTCTGTGGTGGCCTGCCTATTCCTGTTCCTCTAGCCAGGTCACTTCCAAGTCTCTCCCCTTCCAGGATAATCTAAAAACAAAAAGCAAGGGCAATTTACACAAATAAACTGAGTTAGTAAGAGAGAGCACGGAATGACTTCCTCTCAGGGTGAATCAGGATCAAGCCCTCCCTTCCCTCAGGGAGGGACCGTTAGGCAGTGGTTGTTAGGGACGTTCCTGCCTTCCCTTGGCCCTCTCCTCAGAAGCTGAGGATTGAAGGTCTGTCCCTTCTCTAGTCTGCCACAAATGAACTGTTCTGCTTCCCTTTTAATTCTTCCTCCAGTCTGTGCATCTCTTGTAGGTGTGGCAGGGCAAAGCTGGCTGACACCAGAGCAGCTCCTTAGCCTCTTGTTGTCCAGAGTGGGATTTGTATACCCCATCACATACCCTCACCCTCAAGATGGCACCTGGGGAACTGGGGCCAATGGATTGCTTCATCCCTTTCCCTGGGGGGGAAAAACAGCATTTTGGTTAGCTTTTCCTGCTCTATGATGAATTTGGAAGGTGTACAGCTGTAGGGACAGGTATCAGTGCATAAGCCAGAGGGTTTGTGTCCTTCATAGCATTTAAGCACCTTAAGGGGGCATGATCAGTGACTAGCTTGAACAGGAGGTAATAACAGAGAAGTCCATGGCCCACTTCACGGTGAGTCCGTCCTTTTCTATCATGGAATATGCTTGCTCCCAAGAGAACAATTTGCGGCTCAAATAGAGTACAGGGTGTTCCTCTCCATTTGTTTCCTGGGACAATATGCATGTAGTCCCACTTCTGAGGTGTTAGTTTGCAAAATGAACTCTATTGAGAAGTTGGGACTGAACGGGACAGGCTCTTTACGCAAGTATCTTTCAACTTCTGAAAGGCCTTTTCCCAAGTCTTGGACTAGTGAATATTCTTGGGTCTACTGTCTTTAATTAGGTCTGTGAGTGGGGGCTGCTAGTGTTAAAAAGCCTGGCATAAATCAGTGGCAGTAGCTTGTGACCCCCCCAAAACCTTCAGACTTGTTTGTTCATGGCTGGATGAGAGCATGCTTTGGGGGCCTGGACTTTGTTCCTGAGGAGCTGGATTTGGCCCTTCCCCAAAGTATATCCCAGGTAGGTAGTCTCTTCTTTCCCAGTTTTACACTTTGCTGGATTTGCAGTTAGCCCATTCTCCTGTAAGGACCAAAGTACGGTGGCAACTTGTGGTGGATGTTCCTTCCAATCTCAGCTGTGGTGACAACATCATCTAAATAGGCTGCTGCAAATGAGCCAGGTAGTTGAAGAACTTGACCCATGAGCCATTGGAACATTGCTGGGGCACCATGGAGGCCAAAGGGCATAATCTTAAATTTAGAGAGGCCAAACTGTGTGGCAAAGGCCGTTTTCTCCTCTGATTCTGGTTTGAGTGGGATCTGCCAGTGGGTCTAACATGGTGATATATTGGGCCTCAGCCAGCTGGTCTAATAGCTTGTCTACTCAGGACATAGGGCAAGCATCAAATCTGAAAATAGCATTGACCTTTTTGAAGTCTATGTAAAACTGAATAGTGCCATCTGGCTTTGGGACCAATATGTCAGGTTTTGCCATTTGCTATGGGATTTTTCAATAACCCCAAGCTCCAACATGGCCTGCACCTCTTGCCTCCCAGCATCCCACATTTTTCTAGAGAGTAGCCATGGATTCTCTCAGATGAGTTGCCCCGGTTCCATTTGAGTATGGTGTTGCAAGAGATAAGTGTGCCCCAGCTGGGAGACAAATACTGTTGAGAAGGCTTTTACTAGGCTTCTCACCTGGGCTTCTGTTTCAGGCGGAGGTGTTCTTCCATCTGTATAGGGTCTGGGTCTGGTGAGGTGGCCACTTGGGGCCCCCAGTTCTGGCTTGGGAGTAAGGAGAGAGAAATAAACTCTCTCGCTCCTTCCATTGCTTCAGAAGGTTAACATGATAGACATGAATTTCCTCTTGTGGGGTTGCCTGATTTCATAGCTAATTGACCCAACCTGGTTTACTACTTTGTATGGTCCTTGCCATTTATCAAGTAACTTGGACTCTATACTTGAAAGTTGAAATAGTACCCAATTGCCTGGCTTACATATGTGCATATATACCCCTTTGTTATAGTCTCAATCCTAGGCCTGTTGAGCACTGAGGAGGTATTCTTTGGCAAAGGCCCTTAGGGTCTTGAGCCTCTCCCAGAGCTTCAGTACATCCTGTTTAATATTGTGTGTCCTATGGGTCTGTTCCTCTCACATTTCTTGGGCCAGTTGAAGAATTCCCTAGGGTAGTCTCCCACATAAGAATTAAATGGGGAGAATCCAGTAGGTGACTCAAATAGCAAATAACAGGGGAGGGATCAGCTGATCCCAGTGATGGAGATCCTTGGCAACAAAATTCTTGTTAACATTCTTTTCAGAATCTGGTTGACTCATTCAACCAGACCATCTGTTTGTGGATGATAGAAAGATGTACATAAATTCTTTATACTGAGTAGATTGTATACCTGTTTCAGCCTGTTGGTGCCTTGATCAGTGAGGATCTCCTTAGGTATCCCTATTCTGGAAAAGACTTTTAGCAGTTGTGTAGCAATAGTCCTTGCATTAGTGTTGCACAGTGGGATTGCCCCAGGGTAGCAGGTAGTGAATCAATTATCACCAACTTCACCTTTTTCCAAAAGTCCAATGAGGTTCATCCTGATCCTGTCAAATGGGATATCAACTACATGAAGTGGGACCAGAGGGGCTTTTGTCATAGACTCATAGACTTTAAGGTCAGAAGGGACCATTATGATCTTCTAGTCTGACCTCCTGCACAAGACAGGACACAGAATCTCACCCACCCACTCCTGTAACAAACCCCTGACCTTGTCTCTCCTTTAGGTCCTACAAGTTGGCATTTGGGGTAGGAGCTGTAGAAGTCTTTAATGCCTTTGTGAATCCTGGGCTGAAAGAAGCAATCCAAAATTCTGGCCAGAAGCTTCTCATGACTGAAGTGACCAGCGGAGGGGATAGCATGAGCCAGTTGTATGACTTCTGGAGCTGAACTCTTATGTTCTAGTGTGGGGTTAGTATACCCCATCACAAGAATCAAAGCTCTCCTCATATACCACCCTGCCCATCCTAATAGCTGGTAGCCCAGAATATCATCTTCTCCAGTGCTTTGATTTCCTGAGAGAGGCTACTCCCTGCCATAGATCAAGCCTATTTAACCAAAATCCACTTTACTCCAAGACAAGAACTGAACAGAAGAGCTGTCATTATCTTGAATTGCTATAACAGACTTAATTTAGTGTCTTCTCCTAGATATCCTGCATTGCCCATATTTCAGTACCTTACACCCGCCTCATTCTTGCTTGGTATGGACCCACACATTGAAGTGGTAGATGTAAGAAAGGAGGAAAGGCCACCTGGATTGAAGACTTACAACAACTGCAATATGCTTAGACAGCGGAGGGTTGAAGTTCCGTGAGTGTCCATGATCACACTGTAAGCTTTATTCCAGGCATCTTAAAGCTTCACAAGGTTATTACTGTTTTCGTGCAGCTAGGTTAATTGCAGGTGATATTGTTACCAACGCCAGTCCATCACTGGGCAGTGTTCCTTCCCTCCCTCAAGTCTAATCTACAGAGCTCAGTGTGCAGGGACTTAGTCTGTGAGGCAGAGAACATGATCAAAAAGTGCCACTCAGCGATGGCCAATGATAACTTCAGTCTTCTCAAGGCCTGTTCTCAATGATCTATCCCTTATACTGATAGTCAAACCATCTTATACCTAGTAAAAAGCGACGAAGAGTCCTGTGGCACCTTATAGACTAACAGACGTATTGGAGCATAAGCTTTTGTGGGTGAGTACCCACTTTGTCAGACGCATGGGAAGTGGGTATTCACCCACGAAAGCTTATGCTCCAACACGTCTGTTAGTCTATAAGGTGCCACAGGACTCTTTGTCGCTTTTTACAGATCCAGACTAACACGGCTACCCCTCTGATACTTATACCTAGTAGTTATCACTGATAAAACATCTGAAATGTCTACAGCCTCTTGATGTCTTGTTTAAACAATGTCCATGTTTCAGTTTTATACAAGAGGATTGTATGCATGCAGGTTTGATAAATCTGTAACTTTGTATATAATTTCACCTTTTTTTGGCTCCAGACCCTATGAAGGTCCTTCACGGCTGAGTCTGCTAAATTAATTCTCCTGAGGACATCTGGCTGGCTGCGCCCATTTGATGACAATTTACTGCCTAGATAGATGAAGTCATCCATTACTTTCACAGTTTTTGGCAGCACAGATGTCTTGCAACTCTTGCACTGACACTCTGGATTTTTTTGGTTTTGCCCAAGAAACCCTTAGCCCAAAGGCAGCTGCCTCATGCCAGAAGCTCTCTAGTGCATCTTTGAGATCATCTGCATCCTGCCTGAAAAATCCAGGGTGGTACAAGAGGCTGAACCGCCAGTTATACTGATAATGATGGAGATACGCTCAAGGAGCCAATTCATTTTGCAGCAGAACAGGACTCATCCCTGCTTCACCCAGATCTAGTGTGAAACCTGTCAGAACTTGGGGTCCCCCAATGCACCCATGTCCCTGAGCCATTATGTAGCTCTTGAATTACCCTCAGGAAGATGTCAGGAACACTGATGCCTCAGAGGGCATTCCACAAGGCAGCTCTATCAATAGAATTGAAGGCTGCCTTTAGGTCTATGTATGCTGCTGTCAAAGGCTGGTTAAATTCACAGTGAATCTCAGATAAAAGAGGGAGAGCAAGTATAGTGTCCATTGTAGATCACCCCGCAGTGAAGCCCAATTGCTCTGGGTTACAGCGTTTCACAAGGACAGCCTGTAGCTAGATGAGTAGCACAAGTGTGAAGACTTTTCTAGGGACAGAGAGCAGAGTTATTGGCCTGTAGCTACAGCACTCAATGCATGGACTTTTCCCCTTATAAGAGTGAAATGATCACTTCCTTCCACTCTACTGGTATGTTCCCAAAAGTCCAGACTGACAAAAAACTGGTGTAACACTACGCTTATGGCACACCTGAGAAGTTTGGGCATTATAGCGTTGGGTCCAGCAGCACACTTGCTCCAGTTTCTCTATGGTAGAGCAAACCCCTTCCAACACAGGTGAATTTACACACGTTTTTGGGTCAGGGATTGCATCTACTACTAATGCATCCAGATCTGGACATGGAGTTGCTTCTGGACGGCTAAGTGTGGACTTATAATATTCTTTCCATCTTTGCAGGACTCCTTCTTGAATTCAAGAATTCCCTACATTTCTTTCAGAGTAGCAGCCGTGTTAGTCTGTATCCGCAAAAAGAAGAACAGGAGTACTCGTGGCACCTAAGGCTTGGTCTACACTACCCCCCTAATTCGAACTAAGGA